CACGTCTTCTCACTAGAACTGCGAGAATTTCCTGACGAAGCTAGTCACTAGTGAGCATGTTGTCATTAGAAAGTTATGAAAATGGTTATTTAATACTGAAATCATGAATCCAAATTATATCGATTTTTTCTTTTTCGAAACAGTGATTTTTCTTTTTAATGATTACTATATTTAGTAGCATTGCCAGTTATTCATCATACATAAAGATTGATAGCTAGTCATTTGTGATTGAAACATTATACCAACAACTTTCTGACCAATCATAATAAAAAAACACTAGGCAGAACAGACTAGTTCATATGAATTCACCTGGAAAAGAAACTAAAATTTACCGGAAAATACAAAAACCTAATGCACGTAATTCTATTTTATGTAGAGAGATATTTTTCCAAGAAATAATTGAACAAATCTATACCTTTTTATTGATTAAATTTCAAATGATTTCGGTGATGATTTGAATTTGAAAAATATGGCGGTAAGATTTTAGTTTTTTTTTTTATTTCGGTCACTTGTTACATATTGAGTTGGTTTTAATTTGTTTTTTTTTGCACTGAAGACAAATAATGTTAATTGTACAATTTTTAATCAAGATCTTTTTTAATTAATTTGAAATAATGGAAAAAATTATATACATTCTAATCATGATATATGTTTTTGATAAAGCTGATTGAAATTTCAATGTAACCTCACAGCATTATTTCTACGGATCTAGAACTTGCTGACGAAAAGTCTACTACACTTAATGAGTTCAGAGTAAAAGTAAATTATCAGAAAAGAAATCATATAATTAGTGGTAAGTAAATTGAGTGTCAATAGCCAGTCACATCTCAATTTCACTAAGCATATATCACATAATGAAAACTAGTGACCATGGACATCAATGGTGTTGTGTTCATCAGTGTGCTTGTAAAATTCACTTTAAGAGAAATCTGAAAACTGAACTAGGAGCTATTAAAGTATATCGATGAGAAAGTTTATTGACAAATCCACGATATAACTCACACACACTTGAGAAATAGTCTTGTTCGCAATCAATCCATTCAAGAATCAACCTATTATAATTCACTAATCCAATTAATAGATTTTTACCCTTGTACTAAATGAATTGCCAATCGAAAACCGATAAGTCCTCTTGTAACATCCGATTACCTAACCAACTGACATGCACATTTCAAAGCAAATATGTATGAAAAACAGAGATGAATACGGGGTTATCGATATGTGCTGTTAAATTAATTAAAGATCTAATGTAGCTGGCAAGTTTTCATGAGATAAAAATATCTTCATATTACTTGGCTTAGAGTGGCTATTTAGACAACGTGAGAAAATGTCGGGGATGTCAGATCCCCAGAACTCATTAGGAATAGTCCTAATTTTGTAATCTATTTCTAAAATTTTGAATTTTCATGTTTTCGCGTCACCTACAGCTTACATTTCCCACTCAGGAATCTTTGACTGTCACTGGTTGACGGATTGTTTTAGTATGCTGGCTCTCCCAATGGCGTTTCAACTAATGTATAAATAAGCTTGATTTGTGTACTCAGCAACCACGAATTTTCTGGGTGCTTATAAAATACATTCTCTACTCCTTATCAAGACTTCTTGATCTAGTTAGCATGGCACAGCATCGATAACTAATGACAGAATTGATGGTATTGATAAGATCAATTAACAATATTTAGGAAAAACTACATAACTATGAAACACTTGATCAGAAAAATGCAGTGATAAAGATTAAATTATTTTACAGGGTGTTATATGGAAGTGAGTAGGCAATGAACACAGCCTGTATTTTGGCTAATATAACTAGGTCTGCTAATAATGACTGAAAACTTATCCACATGAATAAATCACAGATACTAAAACAGATTCAAACTTCTGCGTTACATAAAATCTGCAAGATCTAAGGAGTTGAATGTAAAGAAACTGTTGGATTTTTCCAGCATCACAGTGATGGAAGTGACCATTTCCAAACTAATGAAACACATAATCTAGGACAAAAATAATTTTGTAAACGTGCATATCATCATTATGATTATCAAGGATGTTAGGTCGTACGCAACAAATTTACACTGACGTCCTTCTGTCAACAACCACGAGTAGTATAAAATTACACACTATAACTACAGTATACCATTTTTTCACCTAGGTTTTTCAATAAACATCAACAAAAATTGCCTATGTTCTTCTATGTGTATCGAGTTAAAAGTAATTCGTCATCGTAAAAATTTTAGGACATTTATAAGAACTTAACAAACCGGTGAGTTGATGAAGAAATTTAGGGAACAGACTTTAGTTACTCGTTAGTAATATATATTTTAAGAAATAATTTGTATGACTGACTTAAATCTTTAGAAATGAAGCTGCTGTACGAGTTGAAAAAGACATCCGAAGAGCACCTAAAAGCTGCCATTTACTTGGACCGCATTAGCTCACTCTCACTTCATTTGGAGAAATATACTATCAGCATGAAAATTCACACAGACTGAGTTAGTCCGGAAGCTGATCGAATTTAACAATCGGTCTTCAGGAACAGAAATAAGCTAAACTAACACACTGAGAAAAACTTTTAGCTAGGGTTTTTTCACAAGGTTATAGGTTGAAACAAAACAACACACAAATCACCCAGGTTTGTGGTTAGTTTATCCGATCTCACGAAGAGCGGACGCTGATTGGGTTTCGAGATGAAAGGAAAGAGCCTTTATGTTGCAAAATCGAAAAAAGGATAAGAGCTAACTTTATGACAGGAACACTGGAAAAATCGTACTATTTATAACAGACATAATTCTTTCAGTCTGTCTAACGCATATGGACAGACGTTTTCATTACAGTTTAATCTTAAATTTCCATGGGTGGACGTTTATGCAACTAAAATGTTGAACCGTAGACTTAGTATGGGAACTGGTATCTTATTTCAAGCATACTCTTTGAGCACATTCGGTATATTTACATCAGAAATACTTATATCAAAATGACATGCACATTGGCATAGATTGGTGCAGCCGCTGGTATACGTTGTATGCATTTAAATGAATCTGTCCGTCCAGTTAGTGCATATTCGTACAATGGTTTCCGCACACACGAACACTTTATATGCATATAAACCATTCCATACATACATATATAAAGATTTGCTCACTACCTGTCACAACCCAGTTGTAGTTAAGACATCCTTATAAATAAGTAGCCGATTGACGGGTTAATCTCCTTTAGGCTTTTGACCCCTGCACACTGGTTAAGGCACGGCTTATAATTAATGTAGTAGCCTGTTCAACTGTACGTAATCGGTCTATCTGAAAATAGTCGAACTTAACAAATGTGTACCCTTATTATTTTGACTTGTCTTTTGTTGCCAAACCACTGACAATAAGGTCGCGCTTGACTAAATGCAGGGTTACGAGATGGTTCGTTGGATGATTCTTGACCTGTGACTGCTACTATATATGGTTGCTCGAATCATTTTAGGCCAGTAATTGATCTAATTTTGTTGGGAAAACTCTTGTAGATTCTCAAGTACCGAACACTGATTTATTTACTGTGTCTGTTTAGTAGGCTATTTCGTGCAAGACGAACCTTTGATTATATAGCACAGGCTATACTTTTTAAGGTACTCTGTAATTCTGAATTCTTTAGTTTTCTGTCTTGAATTATAGTGGATCAAATTCAGCAGAGACTATGTGTCCTGATTTAATTTAATGAGAATCAGATGAAAACATTTCGTTGACGATAGAGAAGAACGTAGTTTGGCTTAACGGTATGAACCTCGATTCGTTAATATTATTTTTAAATAAAATGTTGGTGATTGAATAGTTATAGTGATATCGTAAGTGGAAATAAGTACCTTCCTTATACCTGACGTTTGCACTGGTGAAGCTAATTACTAAAATATGAAGACTTTACAACTGAAACGGTCAGATCAGGGAAAAAATCTACAACAGAATCGTCCATCTGAGCTACATATTTTAGCTGCCATCACAGGAGAGCAGCCTAGGTCCACTTCTCTTCCCTATATTTATTAACGACCCATTAGACAAAGTTAGCTAGTCGGCATTGATCTACGTAGAGCATGCAAAGATCTGGAGGTCCATCAGAAGTGAAGAGAATTCGACTGAGTTTCAAGAGGACCTTACATCATTTGAATAACGGACATTGGAAAATATGTTAAAATTAAACTCGTCCAAATGTTACATTATGACCAATCTATCCCGCTGGAAGCGCACAACTTGCATTATCAACGTAAGTTCAGACCATAGTATCTCCCCAGAGCGCAATCTCGGTTCAAAAACCATTGAAAGCCTACACATCAGATTGAACTATGTAGTAGCCACAGCCAAGGCTAATGCAACTCTTCACTTAATGCGAGGACAAATTGATACATTCATCCCAGTACTATTCTTAACGTAGTTTAAAGCATAGGCAAGCCCACATGATGAGGTTCACAAAGTCGTTACACCATTTGTCTCTAAAGGAGGCGTAAAGCTCCTGGATTGAATGCAGAGACAAGCAACTAAATATATGATAGAGTTGAAAAACAAATCTTATGAAGACAGACTCCAGTACTTTTTGTTATTCTCTCTGAGATATGGGAGAATCTAAGGCTATTGAAAAACGGCGTACAACATATCAAGAACGCCTAATTACAGGAGCTTCTCACCAAAATGTCACCGCCGCTCCCCTCGAAGTAACTTTCGTGGGATCACATATCAAGGAGATGTGATGTCTGCTGGTATCCAGAAAGCCTACTTTTTTGAAACAAGCGTAATCATTCAAATAACAGGACATGTTAATTTATATTTAACTGCCTCCTTACTAGAATTAGTGAAGTTGAGTGGCTAGACTATCATTCGTTGTAAACTAACCTATACGTCAAACCGTGCTGAAAGAACGAGTATCGGGCACAAACAAACCAAATAGTTAATACTAGCTTGTGGATAAGTTATTGGATATTGGATATAGGGTCATATTCCGACCTACGAAGGCTGAACTAAGCGGATATTCGAATGCGATCACTAAGCTTAGTTGATCGTGTATTTTTTAAAGATATATATACAAGCAACTCATGTAATCTCTGCTTATACGACGTAGATAACGATGGGGTAATCCTTTTTTACGCTTATGTCTGCTTTCATTTTTCCTGATGTTCTAACTTCGTAGTATTAAAAAGTCTCCACTCATTTAGAAATGTTTAATTTTTCCTAATAATGGGGGGAATAAAATTCTGAATTAGACTATTTTTCATGAATTTTCAGTTCATTTGTGTCACAAATATTTAGCTCAAGTAAATTAGTTCATATCAAAACTTGGAACTGTATCGGAAGAACAAGAATCGAGCGCAAAGAAATCATGTGGTTTATTCTAGCTCGTAAAAACGATACTGGATATTTGAAAGTGTAAAATTTTCAGTCTTTCATTACCAAATATTGTTTTGTCGGAGTATGTTTCTCTGAACTTCATGAGATATATGTTGTAAATCATACTGAAGAATTGTTCAGCATGTATTAATAATAGCATGTCTCTCAACTCTCGCTAACTTAAACTCGTCCCTGAACAACCGTGCGGTTATTCATCAGCCGTACAGTACAATAACGAGAACTTTCCTGCGAGTCCACATCTGACTGATTTCAATACTATGTAATAACAGTTAAATTTATAAAGCTAAGTAGCGGTAGTGTCAGTGCCTATCATAACCAAACAATAAGAGGAGCAAAGAAAATTAGCAAAATGTATAAAATAGCATGAAAACTGTGAGTCATCCAGAAGATAAAAATCGGCTACTTCTGTTCCGTTGGGAGTGATTGCCAACGTCTTCATGGAAAGACCCAAACAATATATTGTATTCATCTTTCTCACCACAGCCTAACAGCATGTGCTAACTGACACAGCTCAAATCAACATTTTCAGATCACATGAACTGGTTCTATCCATTGTTTACATCTACGTCAGTATCGTTTATTAAGTCTCCTCACTTTAAAGAATTAAGTATTCTACATAAACTTTTCTAACGCATATCCCATTCGCCCTTATGGTAAACCTCTGATGGAATCACCATCCGGGACTAAGATAACTTCTACCGCTTGTTATGCTAATAGTTTTCCAAATAATATTTGTTCTCGAATATCACTTAAGGTGAGCATGCGCTCTAAATAATGATGTTGATTCAAAAGTGACTTGTCACAACGATTGGATTTGCTTATTTTTACCCGAATAGACTGAAAATAATTAGGCCCATCATATAACTAAAAATTTTCTAGATTGGGGTTCAGTTAGTTTACCCAGAAACTGTTCATCTTTTAACAAATATATTTAGCTAGTTTTTCACAGCATAGTCCGGTTCACTTTTCAAGAAATAACAAAATAATTGGTACATCTTAACTGAATCTTCAGTCAAATATTCTAGCCGTTCAGGTCAAAATCTGCAGTTCACGCCATATGGTTTGATTTTCAAAAGTTAGCAGTGCATCGTTACTTCTCAAATAACCTGTTTAACTCATTTTATCACGTGAAAGGGTTTACGTACATTTGCTTATGTTTGTGTGCACGATATACATTTAATAAAAATGACACTTACTTTTACCTTCTCAGGATAATGAATTGATAATTGGCTCTTGGGATTCTGGACCCTTATTGGAAAACGGAGAAGCCGATGCAGCGAATAGCGAAGGTTCTGTCCATGTGTTGAAATATAGGAAGGTATGGAAGGCAGCTTATCATCTTGGAATGGTATCTTCATATTTTTTACTTGAACAAAGGATTTGTACCTTGTTAATAGGTACTGTGTGTCACAGCAGGTAGTATATACAAACCCGATGAAGTCAGTTAGACCATTTTAACAGACTTATTCGTTTGAATGACTTGCTTTTTTTATAGACATGGATCATAGCTCTGTGTGCTGATTCACACTGTTACGCATTTGATGCCTGCGCTCTCGCTCCAGAATCTGTAAGTTACCATTTTTATGCTTCGAATTAATGCTTGTACAGAAAATCAGTTTCTGTTATCTTCAATAAGCATGTTATTTCTGTACGTACGAAGTTCTACGTTGAAACTGACTGACTGACTGACTGATTTCCGTAACATTCTGACGCAAGTTGAAATATACCTTGGCATCAGTAGTTTTTCGGTCTCATAGTAGTACTTTTCAGCAACACATATCTATAACTCAGCCCTAGACTTAGTTTCTTCAATCCTTTTAGAGAATTTTCACACAGTTGATTTTTATGCCTCACATGTCCTTCCACCTTATGATCAAATCAATAATTACTTCCCGAAACTCTATGCTTGATAGTAATAAGATGGAGAAAATGTTGATAACTGCATTTGGTTAAAAATAGGAAGTAGACGATTGAGAAATCATACGGCCTTCAACTGGAGATAAAATACGGGCTATATAGTAAAATATTGTTTCAAAGCATACAGCATCACACTTTCTGTTCCCAACAAAGTTCATTTTCAAATCTCATCATTTAAAACTGTTGATGACTTATGTTGCTAAGTCTCATGCTGTGGAATACTAGTATATCATTTAGGAAATCTTTTTCCTATTTAATCTGTTATACTGAGGCAATAAATAAATCCAGAAAATTGGGGTTAGTCCCAATGTTTTCTAAAGCTTAAAGATATTACCTGTGCTCTCCAGTGACTAGCTTCATGAGAGAATTCCTGGAGCGAGATTTGAACATGTAAACCAGTGGTTAATATCCTTTAGCCACAGCTCCGGTTATGACAGTAATTGTATTAAATGTTTATAACTTACTTTCCGTAGGATGGTGTATTCACTATTATCCATACCCAAAACACTTCACATCACATACCGCTATGTAATAAATAAATCTAATGAGTCATGATAACCTATCATTGTAAAATGGTCGATTCTTGTTAGTGGATATTATGCTTACATCAATTGTTTGTTGTTTTGTAGTGTAAATACTTCGTTTATCCCTACCAAAAGGATAGTTTCTATTAAGTCTCAACATAATTTTGATTCGGTTGACTTTGAAAGGAAGCCGAATTTGTATTCATATCTATCTATCGGCACCTGAACTAGTGATAGGGAGTGAAATAGTTAAGCGTGTAAACCGCTTCACTTATCTTGGGAGTCTCATCAGTGCTGATGGCCTGGTGACTGACGAAATCTCAGCACGGATACAGAAGGCTCGATCGGCATTTGCCAACTTGCATCACATGTCGAAGGCGAGATATCCGTCTGCTAGACAAAGGACGTGTGTACTGCGCAGTAGTTCGCTCCGTCCTACTTTATGGCTGTGAAACATGGCTTGTGAGAGTAGAAGATATTCGTAGGTTACTGGTTTTCGATCATAGGTGTCTCCGAAGCATTGTTCGTATATCCTGGGACAGCCGAGTAAGCAATGCTCTTGTTAGGAAGCAGAAATCAATGAAGTCACTGAAAAGCGGATTGAGTCTTGTTGGAAGATGTAGGCTACCTGGTTGGGGCCCGCGAGATAATAGTGATCGATGATTAGAGACCCTGAATGACATGGCTTAAAACCGTTTGCAATGGTGCAGGTGCATTCATGCTTTGTGTCCTCTCAAATCCTTAACTTCATAATTTCTCATCTTGAAACCGTAATCTCCCCGATTACTCCGAATTCCTACATCACCTCCTCTGCTATGGGATTTGAATCGACAATTACATCTCTGTGCTAATGTGGTATCACAACTTGAACTGATGTACTTACGTACGAAGTTCTAGTTTGCTGTTGATGATGATGATGATGATCATATCTGTCTGCATTTTCCCATATCTATAGGAAAATATTTCAAATAAATCTAGACAAAAAATTAAAGGTCATGGATCTTCGAAAACTGATCAAACTGCAAAACCAGAGGTCGATACATTGAAAATGGTTCATCATCAAGAATTAGCCTACAACGCCAAAGATGTTTGCATATTTAATGAAGGTAAGACTGTCAGGTTATGGAGTAATTTAGTAACATATATTATTGAGTTCGCGACTTAATAATACTATTTTTTAGTTAAATTTTACTTCTCTCAATGTCAAACTACTCACCTTACGAACTGGTTATTGGTTTATCGCCTCTGATTGTCGTGACGTGGTTCAGTGATCGATAAAGTTCGGTAGTTGTTTCGAAATCTTTACTAATTGTTTCATATAACTCCTAACCCGATTGTAACTGCCACCTTAACAAAGTGGTCGGGTTTACCTATCGTGTTGATTTAGCATGATGCATTCTACTTGAATATCAAACAGAACAACACACTTATTCAGCAGAAAAGAAACATCATTTACAATCTACTTTGAGCAAGTAATATTTGCGTAGATAATATTCTTAGAGAGACTGTGATAATGTACAAAAATGATTATCTAGTAAAACAAACGCACAAACTTTTACAAAAGCATCATACGCTTGATTCCAATGAAGATACAATTTCTGAAGAACTAGCAGCTTAATTAAGATCTACACTGTGCATCATAATTTTATCAACCAATGTATACTCTATCCAGTTTCCCGACCGTAGCTGCTACCTTGATGTGGTGGTGGTCGGACTTTCCTATCGTGATGAACCAACCGAGTTATATTGGCAGAAACATATGCTCCTTTAGGTCCTACCATGCCAAGCAGGTCGATTGGAGAACGATGAGACTAGAAGCAGCTACTCAA